TAATGTCTAATTGTTCATGAATATAGCGCGTCAAATTGATTAGATTTAATAGCACTCATAGTGCAGTATATCCGTATAATGGATATTCCGCGGAATGTGTTTCTCATTTAAGTGATTTTTTTTCCTATAAAATTGTGACAATAAGTCTGTTATGATAGATAGATATTGATAGTTAAGGTTCTATATTACATATTTTTTGTAACTTAGCTTCATAATAACTTACAAAGTCCTTCTTGACTGGTTTATGTTGTCTTCTTCTGATCGTCGTTGTCTGTCATAGCGGTTCGAATCATCTTTGCTCTTGGTTAAAATACCGGTAAGTCAGTAGGTCTGTCAGGTCTATTTGCCAGATACCAGACAACGTCAGGGAGAAAGAAGAGAAGAAGAAAAAAGGGAAGGAAGGAGGTAGAGCAAAGAAGGGGAAGTGCGTCTTGGATCGATTTTTCTAGATAAATTGTAATTTTGGTTGGTCCTAAAGTCACACGATTTCATTTTGGTCACAGAGCGAGCCGCGGTCTTGTGTGCTTGTGAACTTGCTCGACTCTGTAGTCTAGTGACTCCCGCAACAAAGGGTTGCTATGCGAGTCCGCTTGACTGTAACATATCTGTTTTAGTCGCTTAGATATGGGATGTCTAGGTCTCTATGAAGAGGTTATAATTGGGTATGCTTACTTATTTTTTGGTACTATTGATGAATGACAAATATTTTGAGCTTCAACTTGAATGTCAAAAATCTAGAACATAAATCACTTGATTTGCGAGTGTCAGAAAAGTGAATGAACGTTAAAGGGTGTAATTTGTACAACAATGGATATATATATATATATATATGTATATATATATTGGAACTCCTGCTGATGTAAATGTTGACAACAGAAGCTTAACAACAAAATAAGTAGTGCAAGATCTCAGGGCTGCCAGATGTAACTTATCACTTGAAGACAAAACGTGAGACATTCAGTGCCAGGTGAGAAAGGTAAATAGAAATAGGACTAACCTACCTTAAATTCTGTTGGCCTTTTTTATGTACGTCGTAAAATCTTGACAAAATAATATCTGGCATTGAAAGGATGCTCTCCCTTCCTAACTTTTTGGTATGGAGGTATGTTTTTGTATTGTATATGTTTAAACAATACAACTTTATTGGACACGACTTTTCTGAGACATCCTGTATACAGAAAAAGTGTTAGATCAAATCAAACCTTATAACTTTTGTTTTGTGGATATTGTGTTGGATATTTATAATAATGTTCAACAAAGTAAATTAAGTGATGAGACTGGCATCATAGGGTTCGATCTGGCAACACTGGAGGCGCCGAGATTGGTGGAGAGACAGAGGAACATGTGATTCGCCTTCAGTACAAGTTCGATCTCGCTCGAGTCATTTGGTTGTCGGTATCGATTTTTTTGTGGAACGGTGTGCTATCAGGTTTTGCTTCAGACTCGGGTACAGTGAAACAACTATTGCTAAATTTCAGCAAGCCTACAGAGATAGAGCTTTCGGTAGTTAGAAGGGGGAGAGTCGATTGAAGATGAACCTCAAAGCCTGAGGCCTTCATCTTCAAGAACGATGAAAATATCGACAGAATCTGGGATATTGTGCCTTCAGATCGTCGAGGAAAATTTGACATCACTGTAACAACAGGGAGTTGCATGACGATAATGCTCCTTGTCAAACAGCAATCTCAATAAACGAGCTTTTGGCCAGTAAAAGCATTCATGTGTCTCCTCAGTCTCCTTATTCCCCTGACTTGAGTTTTTGTGAATTTTTCTCTTCCCGAAGTTAAAAAAATCACCTCAAGGGATTACATTTTGAGAAAATCAAAAACATTCAAACGACTGTAACCCACCAGCTAAAGGCTATTCCAGTAACGGAGTTCCAGGATTGCTATGATGTGGAAGGACCTTCTCCAGTTATTTTGAAGGTGACAATATACAATGTGTTGTTTGAATGAAAAAAATAAAAAAATCAGTCTCATCACTTAATTTACATACTTCCCATAAGAATCAGCCATCAGGATTTAAATTACGGGAATATTAGTATTATTTTTACTTACCTCTCTCATCTGATACCGACAATGGCAGCTAAGGAGACTTTCAAAGTACATACATACAAACGCTACTCAAAGCCTCACGTTTTGTCATTGGAAAATAAACCATGTCTGAAAACTCTGGAACCTTACTCTAAACGTCCGGTCGAACTTCTCAGCTTGCAGACACTTACAATTTCATATTTTCACAACTTTATAAAGCAACAGCTGTAATGTTGCAGCTACATCAGTCAGTAGCTCCCAGGCAACACGGACAATAAATCATATGATCAGTGATCACCTAGATGCTACTACAAACAGTGCTACGCGGAGATCAAACAGAAATCCGTAACAGCATAATGGGTTTAATGTGGTTGAGGAAAATCGTTTGTGGCTTTAGCAGACAGACGGTTAAAAAAAATGTACTATATCTCGCATCCGTACCTTACGTAGCGTGGGAAAAGATTAGTTTCGCATTAAAGTTCAATAAAGTCTATTTGATTCCCGGTTTTTTGGTCATCAGTAGATGCATGCATCATTGCATCTTCAACAAAAAAAACTTATTGAATAGTCAGGTTGCATCAATTGTAAAGAACTGAAAAGAGTTATTTCAGGGAATATTCTATAAATGCTTTGGCCTTTGTTGGTTTTTGTTTTGTTTTGAGGATGCGTTATAGTTTGAACGCAGAGAGACGCGCCTGGTAGATTTTTTCTGTCTGTATCTTCGAAATATGTGTCTGTATGATGTAGCAATGTTAATATACTTTTTGTTTTAAAAACCACTCTCAAATGAAGCCAGGAAGAAATAAAAATAGTTTTGGGAACATTTCGTATCTTTTTTCTATCATTGAAATTGAATTGAGAAACTGTTTAAGTTCCATTTTCTTGGTTACTTATTTTTTATACTATGAAACGTGGCACTAGAGTTTTAAGATATAATAATAATAAACGTTTTTGTTGTTCAACAATTAGTATACGGTACATATAGTTGCGCGTTCATACCTAGGAAGATTTTGATTTCATCTGTGTCATTTGAATAAAACTTGTTTCTGTTAAATCATAGTTCATATGAGAAATAAACTGAACATAATAACTTGGCAGAGTTGCATGGAAAGTACAGAGTCCACCCACTTGACCACATTTCTTTCATTCTTGTCCAACCGCCATTACAGCTGTTCAAGCAATAGAGAATAGCAATAATGACCACAATTTCAAATATGTTATAGTGATATTATCTGCATTAGATACTGATTTCTTTTGAAAGCGATGATTGATGATTTTATATTTAAATGATATCAAGGCTGTTTTCATAATAGTTACTCACTATTTTTACGGTCCCAGTCAATGGCTTTCGATTCTTTCCTCACTGATTATATGCAGAATACCAGCAGGGTTCGCAATTTCCTTCTCTTCAAGAGCTCTGCGATGTGTGAAACGGAAGTGTATGTGTAACAGCTGATAAATTGATGTTACAAATCCATGGAAAGGATTCTTATGAAAAATCGCATAGAAAGTGGATTTTTGAATATTTAGGTAGTCCTCCACGAGTGGTCAAAAAACCGTTTTGAGAATAATGACGCTTATTGTGCAATTCTATTAATAGTTTCTCGTAACTGCTCAACACATCTGTTCTATTTGTCAGTGAAGTATAACTTAAATTTTCGGTTGTGAATATTATTTTTTTAGCTTCAAAAACCATATTCTAAGCGTTCTCATCTTCCTCTATAAATGATAATAAATAACATCTGTTGTTTGTCGATGTCAGTTTGACATAAAACATGTCTACGTTTAACTAGTCTCCAAAAAAAAAAAAACTTATTAGCTGATTCCTTCGGAGGAAAATAAAGAGAACTTAATAAGTACTCTTCCAATATACGAATTTTGAAAGCATTTCCCCTATAAATGAGCAAAAAACGGGAAAAACTGCGTCAGTCTTTAAAAACAGTATCTATTAAAAATGAGATTTTGATCAGATGGAGAATAGCTAATGTCTATAAGGAAGCTTGTAGAATTGAAAATGTTAGGTACATGATAAACCTTCAGCTTTGAATAAATGAAATAGAACATATTTTTCCAGCCAAATTAAACCACATGAAGAGATTACTCCTTGCTAACGTTCCGGCTACCACGGTGGCCTTGTTCAAAGTACAGTCAAGTAGATTGACTCAATACCTCAATACCATGCCTTTGTTTAAAATCACAAACTAAGCAAAACTTCTTTAGGCATGTTCACTTGAGTACGATGTATCGTAAACATCTACATCTCAAGCAATATAAAATAAATCAAATTTCTGTTTCATGGGAGATGTATGGAAAATATTTGTGATATAAGCGCCTTTCCAATAACAGAACGCCGTTCACTGATACAAAAAAATGCAACTTGTACAACCGCTAATCCCCTACAACTCCAAACCCCTTAATTTAAATAACCACACGATTTCTGAAAATGAGGATTCTATGAAAAACGTCAAAACACGATGTTTCAGTGATTTTTTTCGTACCTTTGTCGTCACTGAATTAATTTTCAAAACCTACAAAGCTTTGTTCTTGAAATAGAAGTCACCTTTTTTGAAAATATCATCAAACGGGCACCTCCCAGGTTATACGAAGGCTGAAGATTAAGAAATAGGCAACATACAGTCAGACTTTATTCACTCTCTCGGTCAAGGAGCATCCATCACTACTCGCTACGTGTAACCAAGCCATTTGAATGCATCGAAAGTACAAAGTATTACTTGACTTCATAAACGATAAAAGTATCGCAATTGTGGAAATATAGTATATTACGATTCACCTTTAGGAAAGAGTTTTAAGAAACTCAGTATACGGTTGTGCCTGATTGCATGAAAGATACTAAATCAGTCTAAATGTGTATGTATCTATTTATATCCAGAAATAAATCACACACTGAAGAACATAAACACAAGTTAAAGGCTCAGCAAAATATTGACATTCATATGACATAAACTTCATAAACAAAACATGTTACTGTCAAGAGTCACACATTAAGGGGTAACCAAAAAAGGGTTTTCGTGTCATGCTTTTTTGTGAAAAAAGGTAATAAAAAAATAGTTTTCGAGTACATAGTTAAGTAACAAAAAAAAAGTTATTATAAAAATATATTCAAAGGCATTCGCGCTGCCCTTTTCGCCAGGCAAACAGTATTTGAGACGCTCTCCGGCACGCGGTGTAACAGCTGCAAATTTAGATCTAGAAGAAAAAGAACAACTTTAAAAATTCTGATTTTTGTATGGCTGGTAGGTATTTGAATCATAAGTACGATTTTTGACGAAAAAATGTAATCATTTGTTAATAAATAATTATTGAGCCGTATTCATAAGACAAAGGATATTCTTGTACTTGCAAATTTTGAAGGAAATCCTCCAGATGGTATTTATAATAATTTGAAGTAAATGCTTTCGCTTTTTGAGTACATATATGCATATCCTTCAAAGCAGTGACATAAGTAAAAGGATATGCATAATCTTCACTTTATACTTGGCATAGCATAGGGCACTGATAGCAGCTGTCCCGTAATTTCGATCCGGAAAATTTTTTAGACGAAAAGCGAGATAACCGAGGTGTTTAATATGGAAACTGACCCAGGGGGGTCAGGAAATGGCGCTTCCACCATGGCAATGGAGATGGAGTCGAAGGAGCAGACCATAGAGGAGCTGAGAGCCGAATTGGAGATGGTTCGACAGGAGCTGTCAAAAAAGGACGATGATAAGAAGACCAATGAAAGATTGATGATGATCATCGAAGCCCAGCAGCGGACAATTACCGACCTAACAGTTAAATTAGACCTCCTACTGAAAACCCAGGTACCTTCCCATCTAAATATTACAAATTCTTCTCAAACACTTCCCAAAAATCCCAGTAAAGACAAAGCTGTCAATCTTAAGAGACCGTTAAATAATTCAAGCGATCTTTCCACAGACGACGATACACTCCCTGACGGTTTTACCAAGGTTAAGTCCCGTAAAACGCGACGAAACAAGACCGACACGACAGGCTTTCCTCCTCTCCCTTCACCAAAATCGCAGTCTGAAACATCTCATTCAACTGCAAGCGACTCGAATAAACAGCCTGTGCCTAATCTATCGGTTACTTCCACGCCTTCGACATCTCAGGTACCAGAAGACACGACTGCACAGCCCCCACGCAAGGTACGTGTTACCCCCATCGTTCTTCGTGATGCTTCGAGATGGCGAGGCGTAAATCACAAGTTTATTTCCTTGGGCATCAAATTCGAACGCGCGGTTGCCGTCGATGCAGGAATCAGGATAATTCCCAAGTCCGAGGATGATTAGCGCAGGATTATTCGTCTCTTCAGGGAGGAAGAGGTGCCCCATCACACTTTCCCTCTACCCTCCGAGAGGAACATTCATGCTGTAATCAGAGGAGTACATGCGACACTTTCGGAAATTGAGATCAAGGAAGAGTTGCAACAGAGGGGATATTCCCCCCTGCACATAATTCGCCTGAAACACGGTGGCGGCGTGCCCATGCCTTTGGTGGTAGTCATACTGCCCAAGATAGAAAAATCTCAGCAGCTGTTCAACGAACACGAGCTGCTAGGTTTGGCTATCCGAGTCGAAGTTCAAAAGAACTCAAGACTCATCGGGCAGTGTCACCGCTGCCAAAAATATGGGCATGCGCAATCTTACTGCACTGCACCACCTAAATGTCTAAAATGTGCCTCTGACCACATGACCCACTTATGCCCTCAAACAGAACAAGAGGAACGAAAGTGCGCGAACTGTGGAGGGGGGCATCCAGCGAATAGCCGAACTTGCAGATTTGCCCCTAAGAAAAATCTGCAAGTGATAGCGCAAAGGCGCAATGTAAGTTACGCGGATGCAGCTAGGGATGCAACCCGGGCTGCCCCCTCTGTGGGATCTTCTGCGAACACGCAAAATGTGGACCTGGCAACCGCGCTAAGGTCCTTACAGCAGATCATAGGTCCTCTGATTAGCGCAACACAGGCTTTGCAGGCGATCTTTCCTGCAAATGGCTAGGTACAATCGACGACAGCCTGCATTTATCAAAATTCTTTTTTGGAATTGTTTGGGTCTAAGGGTCATTCCCAAAAGACGGGAATTTCATCAAGCTCTTGTGGACGAAAGTATAGATGTGGCCTTGCTGCAGGAAACATTAATTAATCCGGGAGATCGTCTAGCTTTCCCGAATTACGATGTTATCCGGGCTGATAGATTGACTGGACGAGGTGGCGGCTTGGCAGTGCTAGTGAAACGCGGTATTGACTACCACAGAAGCACAAACGCTGACATGCAGAGCATCGAAGCGGCTTCCGTGGTGGTCAATATGACGGGAGGTGTGCCGTTAAAAATCACATCGGTGTATGTCAGGTGTGGTAACAGGCTGCAAGAGGCGGATCTGGAAGTCCTTTTAGACTACTCGGGTCCACTTATTGTGGCAGGGGACTTCAACTGCAAACATCGAGCATGGCATTCCAGGTTGAATTCCACCATTGGGATCCGACTGTACAACCATGTGATACGAAATGGCTACCTCATACATAGTACTGAGGAGCCGACGCACCACCCATTTAATCACCTTCAGGCACCTGATGTTCTTGATTTGGCATTATCCAAAAACTGTAGCTACAGCATCACTTCTCGAATCATGTATGACATCTCAAGCGATCATCTTCCCGTCGTTTTGGAAGTGGCTAATGAGCAGATCTTGGGGGATGAAATCCCTCCAAGGAAACGCATTGATTGGGAGCTATACAAGTCGCTCCTCAAAGAGTTCCCCAATATACCGATCATAGATGATGAGAACGGTATAGATGCGGCTCAAGCAGAGTGGACAAGTTTTGTTCAGCAAACTCTGCAGCGTGCAGCTGTACTTCCCGTGCAGCGACACGGCAGACCTTTTCTGCCAGCAGACATTCGTCAGAAAATTTCTGATAAAAGAGCTGCAATTAAGCAAGCGAAAAGGTCTTGTCATCCTGATGACATTCGCAGAGCGACGAATCTTGTTCATGAAGTAAGAAATGCTCTTCATGAATTCCGCAATGAGCAATGGAACGACTTTCTGGCGGGGATGCTTGACTCAAGCATTCCTCTCTGGAAGGTGGCGAAGTCGCTCAAAAACGGAAAGCGTGAACAAATCCCACACATTCACGGTCCTGGAGGCATTGTCTTCAGGACAGAGGAGAAGGTTGAGGTTTTCGCCGATGCCATGGAAAGACAGTTCTCTCCCAACTATGATCTTGATAATGACCTCGACGAGGAGCAACACATCGTAAGATCTGTCAGGAGATATTTTAGGGCCAACGGCGTCAGTGACAGTCGCGCATTCGTTGGTGATTTTTCTTCATCAGAAGATTCTTCTTCAGAAGCTTCTTCAACCGAAGATTTGCTTAGCACATCAGCGGTATCTCCTGAGATCCCGCATTGCACACCAGCAGAGATTCAAGGTCATATTAAAGACCTTAAAGTGCGTAAAGCACCTGGGGAGGATCAAATCACTAATAAGGCGCTGAAGCTGCTTTCGCGGAAGTCCTTAACTTATCTCGTGGCAATAGTCAATGCCATGCTCAGGATCCAGTACTTCCCATCCGCGTGGAAGACCGCTGAAGTTATAATGATTCCAAAGAAGGTAGGTTCGATATTTCCCCAGGATTATCGTCCCATTAGCCTGCTGTCAGCTGCGTCTAAGCTCGCTGAAAAGGTGATTCTACGTCACCTTGAGAATTTCTCGTCAGATCACCATGTGATTCCTGACGTGCAATTCGGTTTTCGGTCTGAACATAGTACGGAGCTACAGGCGGTTAGGCTGGTGGAACGTGTAACCAGAGGATTCACCCTTAACGAAAGTACTGGCATCTTGCTTTTGGATGTCTCAAAAGCATTTGACAAGGTGTGGCACGCGGGCCTCTTGTATAAACTAATCCAAAAGGGCTTCCCTTTTTGGCTTCTAAAACTACTGAAATCCTTCCTTGAAGGTAGGAAATTTCGGATCAAAATTGACAATGTGCTGTCGACAACACGGCTGATTACAGCCGGCGTCCCTCAGGGTTCGGTCCTTGGACCTATCCTTTACTCACCGTACATCCATGACGTCCCTAGTCCCAGCAACTGTGAAGTCTATCTCTATGCTGACGATACTGCATTGGTGGCTCAGTCGTGGTCTGGTGACCTAGTCCATGACAGGCTGCAAAGTGCGGTGGAAGAAGTATTAGATTGGGCGGATCGGTGGCTAATTAAAATAAACCATTCGAAAACGCAGGCAATCTACTGTACAAAAAGACGTCGCGGCGTTCCGTCTGAAGTTTCAATGAATGGACTTCGTATACCATGGGAATCCTCCGCTAAGTATCTCGGTGTCATTCTGGACAAAGGGATGACTTGGCGGAACCATATGGAAGCGCTAAAAACTAAATTCCAAATTACGTTTCGGCAGCTTTACCCATTATTATGTAAACGGTCAAAATTAAGTTTGATTAACAAGATTCGACTCTATAAGGTGGTCATAAGACCAGCAATGACATACGCATGTGCGGCTTGGTGTTTTATTGCTAAAACACACATGCGAAGTCTGCAGGTTCTGCAAAGCAGGACGTTGCGCACTATTGCTGATGCCCCATGGTATGTCTCTAACGAAACTCTACATAGAGACCTCGATGTCCCTTACCTAAAGGACTACATTAAGCAACAGGCGCAGCGGCGCTATAGCCTAGCGGAATCGCACAGCAACCCTCTGTTGCGTGATTCAGTGGACTACACAGTCGAGCAAGTTCGCAAGCACAAAAGGCCGCGGCTCGCACTGTAATCAAAATTAACTCGTGAACTTAGAACAACCAAAATTTGAACATTTTTACACAATCTTTAGAAAAAATCAAATATTTTTAGACCATATCAAAATCTGTGAAGCGATTTTAACAATGCCTAAACGCTGCATATCCTAAAAGATTCTCTTCTTCCCCTTTGCTCTCGTTCTTCCTTCTCTCCTTTCCTTCCCCTTTTTTCCTTAAAATTGTCTGGTTTCTGGGTTACCAGACCTGACAGACTTACAAACTGACACTGTGACTCAAGAGCTAAGGTCCCACGGACCGCTCTGACAACCAACGATGACTTGACTTGACTTGGCATAGCAAGCATATCCTTCAAAAATTTTGAGTGTGGTCAGTAGCAGACTCAACTTCGTAACGAAAGGTGGGCAAACGATGATGGCGGAAATTGTGGATGTTAAAACGTACAAACCTCGTTTACCTTCACTTGGTCGTGGAAAATTATATCGGTTCGACGAAGCAATGGCTTGTGGACAGATTTTTAGTTGAGAATGAGGAAACTCGAGGAGGAGCACTTTCATGTATTCATAAAATGAAGATATGTCTACGCTATCTCGCTGACCCTGGATATCAACAAGGTATTGGTCAGGAACTTGGTGTTAGTCAAGCAACGGTATTTCGGACTGTGGATAGAGTTGTGAACAGCATAGTTGCACAGTCGAACGAATGGATAAAGTTTCCAAATACCAATCATGAACCGATGAGGCCAAGCGGATATGGCAAAGCATGTATAAATTTCCGACAGCAGTTGGTATAATTGATTGAAGATTGAAGATCTGCGATGAACTTCAGGTCGTTGCCATTATTTTCTATAGTTTCCTCATCACTTGAGGATGACATGCTTATTAATTTGATAAAAAACTGTATCCAGTAAAAATACGGAACGGTCTGTGTAAGCTCTGGAGTACAGTGAGGCTGAGTGAACGAACTCCCACGTCAACTACAAGCTGGAACAAGTCAGGACACGTCGCTCAAGATACAAATACCAGTCAGCTTTTTACTTCTTCTTGGAGGATATACTTGCGAGAATAAGGTAATCATTATGAATATGAAAACAAGGATATGCTTATACTTCTACATTTTTCTCCGAAGCAAGATCTTATACTTTTACCTTATGCTTCCGAGGATATGCTTCTCTTTTATGAATACGACTCATTGAATTGACTTATCGAAAATCACCAGAATATTATTTTAGAGATATTGCAAAAAATGGAAAGGTTTTTTTCCAGTTATGCGGCGTGCTGTTTTGAAAAATCGCGTATAGAGAGAAATCCTGTGCCAGCGCCATTTTTTAATATTTCTTATGATAATTTAATTTTCTGTTACTTAAATATATACTAAATAACGTCCTTCGATATTATTATTTTATCATCATTTTATCCTCAAAAAAAAAATACAAAAAATGCTCTCTTTTTAGACCGTTACAGTGGTGTCACCGCTTGTGATAATAGGTATGTACTCCAAAACATGATGCGAATACCTTCCTTGTAAAGCTCGAGCATATCTGAAAACCTGATCTGCACTTGGGCACCTCTTAGTGGGCACAGGACAGTACCAAATGTCAAAAATTGATGAACGAATTTTATATGTGACACTAAATGTAGTTCTTCGAGAGGAAGTCTATGAAATAAACAATGATAAATATAGCAGGCATACCGTGAAAGCGCTTGTGTAATTTTCGGTTTTGCGGTAAACGTTGACATAGCGAGCAGAGCCTATAATCACATCCTGTATGCTCTGGTTTCCTTAATATCCTAAAGACAGTTGCCGCTAATCTACAAATGGATAAAAAACGAAAGCAATCCTTGCCACATCGCAGGCCACCAAATTATCAATTTACCAAAAGTTTGAATTTAAGCGACATACCACTTATAATTATTCATAAACCAGTGTATTTATTCTAATTCGGTCTAGAATGCATGACAAGTTTCAGTCAAAACTTTCAACGTCTGCAGAAGGAATGCCGTTATCCTTTCATAGGTGCTGTTTACTATCGCTGTTATACGGATATTTAATGAGCAAGATCCGTTGGATAATGAACCTTGATCTGATTGATAATTGTTATACCTTAACAGATCAATGTACTCGCATCAACCATCTGTAAGTAGAAAAGAAATCAAAATGATGTCAGTCCTGATGTCTTATCGTCATTTTCCAAAATAATAATTTTTCTTACCTACTTTTTGGTAACTGATTGCACATTCTTAATGTATGACTCCATTTGTCAACACAAACTTTTCTAGGATTACTTCTACATTAGCTGTAATCTAATTGTACTCTTTACAGATACAGAAATAGGACGACAGAAATATTCTTCTGTTAGATTGAAAAAGGTCGAGCTTCGGATGCTGCGGCAACTTTTTATGAGCTGGAAAAACGATACTATATTTTGTAATAAATGCTATGGAACACCCAGCTACTCAAAAGCTCTTTTAAAGGACACCTGGGCAGATCCGGATGTGTTCGGAAAATTTACTAGCTATGAGCTCTAGTCCAGTTAGTGTATTAAGATAAATAAATTAGCGAATAAAACATTTGATTCAGTTCCTCATTTTCTGATACTCTGATCACCACTCTACATGCTGACATCTTAGTCCAATCATATTAGACGAAAATAGCCCTGGCTTGCAAAATAATTGTAAAGTCTGGTTTTATTGCTGCAAGTTGTTCAAGGAGATATTCAAAACATGGACGCATAAAATGGGTACACCAATTTTTGTGGGAAAACTTTTTATTCGACAACAAAGAAGGAGAAAACGTGTTTTTTTTTTATTCAATCGAAAGTGCTGGCACAACCTAGTTTCTGGCTACATGGCTTGGTCCTAAAGCAAAAAAAAAAAGTGCTGGCAGGAAGGAAAAACACTCTCCAGATAAGATTTTTAGGTATTTATGAGACTCTCACCACGCGTAAAAAAGTTATTGCTGAAAACCGGGGCAAACTGCAGGTTTCGGCACTTGGTAATGTGGCGATATTTTCTCGCAGATACTTGGAATTCGTCAAATTCGTAGAATTAGTACTTTTAAATAACCACAACAAAGTTGGAGTAGATTGGCCAAGTATTTTTTGAGACTTTCTGTTTATCCCAAAATACCTGTTTGGTGGGCATCACTACTAGTTTATTGAGCAATAAACAGGGTTGGTTCATAGGGTATTTCATAGCAAAATACACAAGTTTACCTTGCCGATATGAATAGCAAACCATTTCGGAAGATAAATGTTATTTTTATGGAAAAAAGGATGGGTTACGTTTTTTCTTCTAAACAAATTCAAACGTTTCGTATTTGTGAGTAATTCTAAACAAAAGATAATAGACACATACGCTTTGTTTTAGAATGTGTATGTATGTTTTTCGAATATCGCAGCTGGCTTGTTCAATTACTCGCAAATACGGCATGTTTGAAATTGAAGAAAAAACGTAACCTTCGTTTTTCGCATAAAAATAACATTTATCTTTCGGAATGGTTTGTGATTCATACCGGCAAGGTAAACAGGTGTATTCTGCTATTAAATGCTCTCTGAACGAACCCTGTATATTGCTCAATAAACTAGTAGTGATGGCCAGAAAACAGCTGTTTTGGAATAAACAATTAGAAATTCTCATAAAAATACTTGACCAATATACTCCAACCTTGTTGTTACTTAGAAGTATGAATCCTACGGACTTAAAGAAGTGCCAAAACCTGCATTTTGCCTCGTTTTTCGGTCATAACATTTTTGCTATTAGTCGGATCCTTTCATGTGTGGTCTCATAAATACATACCTAAAAATCTTATATGAAAAGTTTTGTCTTTTCTGTCAACACTTTCGATTGAATCCCAAAAAACACGTTTTCTCAATCTGTGTTGTCAAATAACCTGCAGCACTTGTATCTGTTAACATATCGTGGACAGTGGGACTATCTTGATAGCTGATAGTATTTAATCCTTAAAATATATTTTTTTCTGTAATGATCTGAATATGGCAAACATGACATTTTTCAATACATTCAACGTTCAAGTAAGTGCACTACTGTGCTAAAATGCTGGCATTTAACAAAATCGAGAATACTTTCATTCTCTTAATTAGACATTTGCAGCAAAAATGTGCTAAGTAGAACGAGACGACGACGGTTCAATCTAATAAATGGTTTATTCATGAGGGTCTGCTGGTTGGGTTCTCATGATTTGTATTATAATTGCCTTTAGACTCAATATTATGTTCCATATCCCACATAATAAATTGTACAGTTCTTTGTCATTTCTCGTGAAATCGCATAGGTTTGTTTTTATTAAAGAATTTTAAGACTAAACAATAGATTTATCGATAACAACACCTGAATGCAATTTGTGTATTCGATTAAGGCTATTAAGTACGTATTAGGCTAATGCGCTCATCCAAAGTATTTCTGTTGCAACCATTGCAAATGAGAATCTGCAATAAAGGGCATACATATCAACAATAGAGTTTTCCACTGGTATGTACTATTTACACTTTTTTCTTGGCACATTATGGTCACATTCGTAAACGTTCATTGAACAAAAAATAATGCTTTCATGAAGAACGTACAAGGGAGGATTTGTATTTCACAATAGGATTGTAACAGTGATCACCGGTTTTGCTTTAATAGCCGTATCTATTTAGCATTCGCGGGTAAGTTTTGACCCGTTTGGATTATTTGTGCTCAATTTTAGTTAGCGATACAAATAATAACGAAAATTGTAGTTTTTTTGGATTTTATAGTGAGAGCAAATCAATTGAGCAGAATAAATACAGGGAAGGCAATGATCTATAGTTCGGCAATTTGAGCGTATTTATATGGCCTGAGAACTTATACCCACAATTGTTAATCTAAACGACGATTTTTTCATATTAATGAGAAACAGTGAATTTAAAAAAAGATGCTGAAGATGAGAAGATGTCTAGATACGAGACAAGATGAAAATAATCGTTGAAAATAAAAAAGAGATAGCACCATTATTTTAAAAAACCGGCTTGGGATAAGATTAGAAGGATCTATAATGAGGTGAAAAAAAATGCAAAAAATTAACAACTAGGCAAATGAAGATGGTCTCTATAAAGCATTTGTGAATTATTTTCGAAACTGTTTTCTCTTCTTCGTAGAACTTCCCTTTAACTGAGTCATTATGAAAAACCGTCAATTGTGAGTAAAATAATTTCCATGCTATATAAGTACCCTAGAACTGTCAAACTGCGGATAGATGTAATGCTGTATGCCTAAAAGCATGCAATTCTCATTACTTTCTTGTATTACTCACTAAAAAGTTTAAGAAAAGCAAATCGTTCAAAACTTATCATCAACATGCTGAACAGGTACGGCCAGCTAGGAAAAACATTTCTTACATTGATGACAGCTTGTTTTGACAGCTGTTACAGCCTACTGTCAAAAGCAAATATTAGATCCTATCTTGAACGTTCCGTAAGGAAGTGCTCTTCAAATGGCAATTCATATTCAAGAAACACTTATTAATATGACCCTTAGTGCATAATATTCCTCAGTCATCCTATGTTCAACTGGGAAAATTATTGCAAAATGTTTTAGTCTTGCTTGTACACAAAAAAATACGTTTCAGGAAGAGATATAAAGTCATACTATCACGATGGTTTCCAGATTTGACTATTTCTTTAATTTCTACAAACTGGTTCTGTTCCCGCACGACTGGACTTTTCTTGATACTGCCCTACACTGATACTGGCATTGCAAGAACGAGAAGTGCAAAATTGCACCAGTGCACTCCAGTGGAAAACGCTGTAAGTTTCAGTACGAGATGGCGCTAAACGACACGGCTATTATGTAAAAAGCCTAAAAAACGTCAAAAAACCGACAAAATGTCATCTTGCAATATAGGTAAAGGGTGTCTCACCAAGAGCGCCGGATTTGCCGACATTTTTTTGTACGTATGGTGTTTACTTGATGACAGCTGTCATGTCCAGACCACGCGATTAGACGTCATGAAGTTGTATTCAAACGAACAACGTTTAAATATTGTGATATAAAATTCACTACAAAAATGGAGAAAATTATGTGCAAACAATTCGCAAATTACGCGCAATTTTCGGTCGCAATAATGCGCCAAATTTTAGCCAAAATTCACGTCGCCGTACTGGTCGGAAAATATAGTCCCAGTGAGGGAAAGTGTGGCCGAGAATCCAGGCACTTCCATTCGGCATCGTGGCCAAGAATTGAACCTTGCCAGACCCAATCTGCAACGAATTTTGACATGCATGCGTACAAGGTTCAACTGACTCATGAACTCAAGCCAACGGACCATGTGCAGCTCCATGAATTCGTTAATTGGGCGCTGGAGCACCACCAAATTGATACGGATTTCTCGAAGAATATCATTTTCTCTGATGAGGCACATTTTCAAATAAACGCGTAGTCAATACACAGAACTGCCGGGGTTCTGAAAACGCTCGTGTACTAATCGAACAACCAATGCATCTGCCGCGAGTTACCGTTTGGTGCGTATTGTGGATTAGCGGAGTGATTTGACCGTATTTGTTCGAAAATGCAGCTGGAGCTGCGGTAACTGTTAATGGTGTGAGGTATCGCGAAATGTTAACCGGGTGTTTGTGGCCTCAGTTGGTTCAAATTTATGTGGAGGATATGTTCTTCCAACCAGACGGTACGACCTGCCACAAATAACGGTGTTACTGCGGACCAAGTTACCAGACCGTGTCATCTCTCGGTTTAGCGAGCAAAATTGGCCACCAAGATCGTGCGATCAAAAGCCAATGGACTTCTTTCCCTGGTGCTATGTGAAGGAAAAGGTGTATGCAAACAAGCCACAAACAATTGAACGCCTTAAAGAAGAGATACGGCGCGTTATCGACGAAATAGAGCCACAGTTGTGCGAAAACGCTATACAAAATTTTAAGAAAAGGCTGACCCTGTGCCAGAGGTTCCGTGGTTGCCATTTACCGGATGTCCTATTTCGTGTTTAATCGCAACTATTCCTCTCCGTGTTGAAATATAAATTCTCGCTTAATTCAAGAATAAATTGTGTTTTTCTTGAAAATCAAATCCGGCTCTCTTATTGAGACACCCATTAGTTTGCTTGCTATGCTCGCTGTTCGCTGACGTTTAAGCAACACGTCCAGCTAAGAAACGAGTTCACAACACCTTGTGCTAAGCTGACACCTTGTATAAAAACCTACGAAATGTCAAAAAACCATCGAAATGTCAGTTTTCAACAAACGTAATACCCGTGCAGGTCCTCCCTAAGTGGATGAAGTTTGCTTGTTGCCATAATTAGCAAATAAGTGTATTAAGACATTTGAGGTAAAATTACTTTCTGTGTAATTGTTGACAACAAATAAGCAAAATGATATAGCAGGGATAGTTTAATATGTGGAAAACATCAAGACAAAATTAAACCGGAGATTACGTATCTTGAAGAGTGACATTTCGACGTCTTTTTTTTACATTTCGTCGGTTTTTTCGTGACATAACGTAGGCTTTTCTACAGGATAGTAGCTTAGCACAAGCTGTTCTATACTTGGTGTGAACTGGTTTTGTAGCTGTATGTGTTGCT